TATGTAGGCTATGATGTGTTTTATTTAAGATGATATGACCTAAGAAGAAATACAAAATAAAATAAAGTTTTCTATCGTTTGTTTCACACAGAGCTTAAAAATATGATTATGATGTGGATGTGCATGATTTGTTGCATTTCTTAGGTTATTACATTGTTCTAATTTAATTTGATTAAAGTTTTACAAATATATTATTAATTATATGTTTTCTATTGTTTTTCACGCAGATCAGCTTTACAAAATGTATGATGTGTATGGTGCTTTATTTAAAAAATCAAAAGAAAATAATGAAATAAGATTCTAATAAAGACAAAACAATCATGTCTGCAGGCTAAATTAGCTGTCTTTCCGTATAACCATTTTTATGTTTCACCGCCTGTTGCTACTGAACAATAACCACCCCAAAATAAACCCAAACACAATCCCTTGTGTACATTCCTCCCTCAGAGCCTCTTCACGCTCTCATCAGGGGCTCCCGTGTTTGCTTCTCACCCACTCTTAACCTGACATGTAATCTCTTCCCCTTCGCCTGATCTTTCAGCAAGACTTTGTTCGGCCTGCTTGCACGAGGGAAGTGAGCCCTCTCTCCCAGCAGGCATTACCCCAAGAATGCTCAGAGAGCCACGGCCAGGCCAGATGTCAAGTAGCCTCAGGGGCCGGACTCTTAACCCCAAGCTGAGGGTTCGTGGACAGCGATGGGAAGCCAACAGCGCTCTCTGGGAAAACAGAGCTGTGTTTTGTCATTGGACTCCAATAATGGGTGACAACTTCTTTAGCGAAGCTACTGCGGCCCCCTGGGAGCTGAGCCCCCTACTAGCTTGTTAATGACTTTTTAATGTTTCTTCATGGTTGACAGTGTGTTTGAGAAAAGGTGGAATTAAAAATAAATGACGTTCAAAATGAATCAATTAAAAATTATATTGAAATATTGTTACAATATAAAAGAACTGGTTTCTGTTTTAATATATTTTATGTAATATAGTATGTTTTATATGATTTGTAATTTATTCCTGTGATATCAAAGCTGAATTTTCAGCATCATTACTCCAGTCTTCAGTGTCACATGATCCTTCAGAAATCATTCTAGTATGCTGATTTGCTGCTCAAGAAACATGTTATAACATTAGTATGTAACATTATATTATTGTTATATTGAGAACAGTTGTGCTGCTTAATATTTTTTTGAAAGAGACATTTCATTTTTTCAGGGTTCTTTGTTGAATAGAAAGTTCAAAAGAGCAGCATTTATTTGCGGTAGACATTTTGTAACAATGTAAAAGTCCTATCTGTCACTTTTGATCAATTCAATGCATCCTTGCTGAATAAAAGTATTCATTTCTTTCAAAACAATGTTACTGACCCCAAACCTTTGAACACTGCTCAATGTCTATGGTGGTTACAGCCAACCAATTAGATGCAACAAATCAGCAAAACCAGCATTTATTAACCAAAAAACCACTTATTTTCGATTCGCAATGTTGTCCTCTCTGGATTTAGCATGGCATCATTCATTGGCTCTCTTGCTAGGACACTGTAAATGAGCCTAAGCAAAGATCTTCGAAAATGACTTTTGCAGTAAAATCTGACGTCTGTCTCCAAGGATTTCCATACAATTTCCATGTTCTTTTCAGAATCGCAAATTATGACCATGCATTGCTGGACACAGAAGATAGTTTGCTGCTCTTGTACACACAAAACACTCAGGTTAAAATCACACAAAAATGCCAGTCGAACAAGCGATAGAAAAATACGTGATGGGCAAACGTGCCAAGGCCAACCAGGACGAATCGAGACGAAATGTTGTTACAGGCAGCGCTTTACAAACATTTGTATTTACAAAGCATTTGCATTGAACTTGAGGCGATTTGCTTATCTACTTGAATGTCTTGGAAATGTTGCGAACAAACTACAACGAAAAAAAAACGAGAGCTTAAACGCAGGCGCACAGTGAGGGAGGTCAGGACTGTAGGATCCACTTTGAATAAATACCACAAGCACAACAAGGCTTGGCTTCGATATGAACTGATCTGAAAAAGTGATATTCATTTTTACGTCGTTTCTCAATTCACACGCTCCCCTGACTTGTCACTTTGGCTGATTACTGCCATGAAAGGGAGGAGGTGACATTTCCAGCATTGCTTGTTTAGGGGAAACCTCTTGATATACTCAGCTGTTATTTATTGGAGAATACAGTCGATGTTGTAAAAGAAAGACTGTTTGTGCATGTGTTGAAACGCTGACAGTGAGAGCTAAGTGAAAGGAAGGAGAAAAGAAAAACATCCCACAGGTGTTAATGATATAAACCTGCCTGACAAGGTTCCGCCATGGAAACACAGTGGATGATGGTAGTTTGTGTGTGAGTGTGTGAGCAGACACAACTTCAACTACCCGCACTGACTTCATCAGCTGTCAGCTTAGCAAACATGGTAATTAAGAGCCGCAAATTTGACAAAAAAGCTTCAGCGCTACACATTTCTTATTATATTACATGTTGCCTTGCAGGAATTCCGCACACAAAAGCTGCTGGTAGTGAGATGAGGGTGACAAATTGGGATCCTGCCCCTTTCGTTCATGCATTGGTGAAAGCCAATGCAAAATTGACAGCGCGCCATTTCTTTGGCATGTCAAAATAATCCTGTGGCCTTGTGACTTCCCCGGCCCGCGCAAAGGTTTGCATGCTCTTTGGCTTAATGTGTGTTAAATGCACAGCGTCTTGCAGCGAGGCCTCGGCCAGAGCAACCGAGGCGACAAAGTCAACAGATTGAGAGATGGGTTTGTTCTGCACCTGGGGAGGAACGAGTGAAAAAGAAGGTGTGAGTTGAGACAATGACGTGGCCAGGCCAGTTTGAGTTGTCCTCACCTACTCTGGCCAGACAAATGTTTTGGGTGTAAACTGTGCAGCAATGCAAATGAACAGAAGTGTATTTTCATGGCTTTACTGACGCTGCACGAAACATTTTGTAATCCGTTTTTTTTCTTTTTTTTCTTGTTTTCCATTAAAAAATATCTAGAGATTCTTAAAACAAGATTAACTTGAGAAGCAAAATGCTGTATCTTGAATTGAAGAGTACATTACATTAACAAATAGTTTTTGGTTTAGTTTTGAGCATAAATCTAACTAGAGAGGTTTATGCTTAAAAGATAGAAGTAAAAGTTTTGTTTATCTTTAAAACGTAAATACTGATTAAAAATGTGATCTTTTTTTTTCTTCAGTGAGTGATGTTTTTCTGCGTTTAGATAATACTTTGTCTTGACTGTTATCAAAATCTGATTTTATTATCTCATTCTCACTGATATGATCTCTTTAGTACTGAAAGACAAAACTGCTTGTTTCACATAAACTGCAGTGCATTATCATACTTGCTCCCAAACTCTGCTTAAGGAAATATAAATGTGGAACAACAGGGTCCTGATCTGCTTCCGCAACAGTTTTTAAACAGACAGGATAACAGACTGACATAAGGGTATAGTAAAAGGAACTGAACAAACATGCTGGCAATGCTAGTGATGGCACTTTGCTAATGTGCTAAATCTGACACTATGGGAACAGGGCTCATCAGCAGATCCACTGTCCTACTGTTACAATCGACCCTCATTGGCTTCAGTTTATTTGAACTCAAAAGCTTATCCTACTGTTGCATAGTTACTGACCCCTTTTCCACATTGCAAGGGTATTTACAGTAAATAAGTGAAGAGATAACAGGTAAAATGAACACAGAACAACCTATAGTGATACCGACAATGTGATCGTTTCTTGAAATTAGTTTCTTTATTTCCTTACCAGGATCTGTTCATCCTAAGAAAGCATAATTTGACTAACAGAACAGCTGTTGTCAATCTATAATTTCATGCTATTCTCAGTGATTTAGGAGATATCGTGCAGAGGGCTTTCCTGAGAGACTATTCCCTGCTCCATTTGAAGCCTGAAATGATTCCATCTGAACCAATGAACTGTGCAATGAGCATTTAAACTATGTCTCAGTCTTATATTGTTAACATTTATTAGGTCCATTTACAATTATTTCATATGGAAATTTCTATTTAATAGGCAGACTAAAAATAAAGCTCAGGGTTTATTTCACATGATAGAACGGAAGCAGATTCAAGCCTTAATGTAGTAAAGTATCATTTTAGCTTTAGCTGTCAATTTATTTATTTTATTCTCTATCATCTTCAGAATACAATTGCTGCATTTACACACGGCCCAGCATAATCTGATGTCAGCTAAAGCTAAATGTTAAAAAAAAAGAGTGAATTGTAAAAGGTATTTCACAATTTATGGACTTCTCGTGTTTCCTTCAACGACATCTGTGATACATGTAGACAATTAATGTCTTGAGCAGGTGCTCCGTATTTGCACATAAAGTGGAATAAGTTGATAAAATCGTTTATCATTTTAGATAAACATACACAGTTACTCTATAAACTTGATGGCCAATGTAAATTGTTGCCTCTAACAATGTACACAAAAAGCTCTTTGTCATCTGTCTAGAATTAAACTGAGTTAGAATCACATGTATAGTTGCAGTATTTGCACATATTTAAATTGACTCTGCTTTTGCTCTAAGCCACAATCCATGAACTTATTAATAACAAGTGAACGTCCCAAGCAGCAATTGTTTGCTAAAAAGTATCAGTCATTCTATATATATATTTTTTTTTTTTACGTCGTATTCATATTTTTCATCTTGTTTTATTGCCTTGATTTAATAGATTAATATAACAATTACTTTTCTGTTGAAATAATATCACTATGCCAAAGTATGGTTGGAACATGATACATTTTAAAAATATTAAAAACTTTCATTTTATTGACACTTTTAAAGTAGAAAAATGAACATTTACATTTAAATAATCTACACATTATGACGTATTATAGTGTACAACATGCATGTTTGAAATGGTATGTACAGTTTTATGTATACAGATGTGTGGGAAAAAAACAGCATTACTGCTTAGATTAATGCTAGTGTCATTTTTCTGACATTTCTTTTTCTAAATGTCCAAATGTGTCCGTGTGAATAAATATACAATCAGTAGAAAGCAAGCATGTACTTTTGAAATGATTATCACTATTTTAGCAGGAAGCCTTACTGGGATGTCCGATTTAAAGAAAGCGCAGGTCTTTTTAATATGGCCTCCACTGAGAACGACAGAGACTCTCCTGCGGTGACCTTGGTGCTCCACGGCTTTGCTACAAAGTCCTTTCCCGTTCTTTCTGAGCTTTTGAGTCCCACTGCGTCTTTGGCTGTACCCTCCCTGAACTTTTTCGCCGCTTCCTCCAGCAGTTCCTTACAGTACGGTCCGTTCATCTCGGGATTCTTGTCGTTGAGTGTCTGCTGTATGAGGGAATGGAAGGAGTTGAGCTTCATGGACAGCGTGTGCTTGGCAGCGTCTTTGCTCATGTTGTTGATCACATGCTCGTGGCTCCCTACATTTGGGAAAGCTTGTCCATACGCCCTCTTAGGAGGCGAGAAGGCTGAACGGCCACTTCCGTTCTGGCCGAGTCCTGTCTGAGCCTCTCTGGGCCCCGGCTGGAGGTCACAGGGCTCTGGAGCCACTCGAGATCCCTCGAGCCTGGACGCCGCTGCTGCCTCGTGCTCTGGCGGGTGGCTCTCGGAGGAGCACATCATCTTTGGATCCCAAACAGCTCCGGGTTTCAAGTTCTGAACTGCGGTGGCGTTCAAGAGACACTGCTGGTATAACAGGGCATCGCCAATACTGCTGCTGCCCCGCGGCCACATGACGAAGCGAGGGGAGAGCGGGTATTGGCGATAGGTGGTCGCTACGCTAACGTTGGAGGAGATGAGCTCCACGTTAGCCGTCGTCCCCCCTGTGGCTGCGTACTGCAGGGAGAGATCCAGACAGCCAGGCAGAAAGCCACAGAGATCTTTGGGAGAAGGTTCAACCGTGGATGGGGCCGAGGAGGATGAGAAGGCCGTCTTGTAGGAGTTGTACTCGGCAGCATGGACCATATTGCCGGGAAGGAAGAGTGAGGCAGAGCTGGGCTGGCTGGACTCGAGAAGCTCCCGTTCTTTGTACTCTCGTTCCAGCATGATCGTCTCCAGCTCCTTGTCGGCAAAAGCTCGTCTCTTCCTCATGCGGTCGCTCAGAGGAGGGGGCAAAGCGGGACCGGCTCCTAGATATGGGTCGTTTTGCACTGGACGATATCCTGTGAATGAATACATTCAGTTCAATTTATATAGAACAACAGAGCAGATTTATGCCACTTTGTTTCCTGTTGATTTATTTTACTGTGAAGAATTTCTAAATTTGTTTTAAACAAAAACATGTGATTTCTGTTCAATCTGATTTTTTTATTATATATTTTGTCATCAATAATATCATGCACAGTTTTTGTTTTTAATTGTTTTATATTATATAATAATAATATTGTAAGTTAAACATGCTGTATTTAAAAGGAGCTTACGCCATGAAAATATCCAGAGAGGAACCAAGTGAATTAATTTGAAATGGACAGAAGTCCAAGAAAGGCTGAGAGAAAGAGGAGAACATTAGTTTTAAAAAGAAGGGGAAAAGGATGAAAAGTCAGATAGATCAATTTTGAGCTTTAAATAAGCAGCGAGGAAGAGTTCACAATTTGTGCATGCAGTTTGTTTTTTATTTTTTACCCACCTTCTAAAATACTTTTTGCCAGCAAGGTCGATGGACGGATGTGTCTCTGGTAGATACTTCGTCTTTCCACTGGTATTTGCTTCCCAGATATTCCCTTTTTGTCCTACAATTATATGATACATGGTTGTATGAGATTTTGCTCTAAAAAGTAACTTATTTTTTTCTGTAGCAATATAGAAAGTCTGCCTGTTAACTGTTTTGTTTCACTTTGTGTTTCCTCAATTTGATATTGATGACAATAAATGGAGGAGTGATGCATTAGTTAGCGCGCACTCACCTCTGTCGCTTGCTGTCTCCGCAGGGCCACTTGAGCAGCCATTACGCGCTGTCTCTCCACCACCAGAAGGCAGTTTGCGCACTGGCAGTCTCTCCATCGGCAGAATCTCTTGTGCCCCTTAAGACAAGACACTACGCCGTGGTTCCTGCAGCGGGCGCATTTCGGAGTGCGGCTCAGTTTGCGCTGGTCTCCAGAGCCGAGGTTTAAGCGGCTGGGCTTGTCATCTTCTTTGGTCGCCGCGTCGTCCTCGCCAGTGCCGGTGAACACCGCCTGATCATCGCTCTCCGTTTCCAGGCCCTCCACGTCGATCTCAAACTCCGAAAGATCCGTCATTTTCAGGACGCGTGTAAATAAAATATGCTGTCTAGAAGAAATGAGGACTAAATAGTAAATTATTTGAAGTAAGTATTATAAATATTTCTCATTCATTAGCGTGTCAATTAATTATTGTAGGCTAGTTTCTACTTGAGTTTCAAAGAGTCAAATTAGATTATCCTCAGTAGATCCAAAGTGGTTGAAATAAAACGTAGGCTATCATAGCTTGAATTTACATTTTTTTAAAGCAACAATTAAACGTAGGCTATGTGATTATTATTATTATTACAGTAGCCTACATTTATTTTTTATTTATGTATCATTCCGACTTCCTTTTTCATAGACACTTACCTTGCCAAAGCAGACCAATAAAAGATAAGTGTATATCCAACAGTCTTTATAGCACCAGGACTTGAGTTTTCTCCTCTCCACGGATGTTGGAGCGATAAAATGCGCTTTTTGCAAAGTAAATTAGGCCACCTTCAAATATTTTTCAGTGGGCAACATTTGGACTACCTGATCTGTCACTGAAATGTGCGGTGAGATTCTCTCAGCCTTTCAACTCTAAGATCCGCGCAGCAAATCTGGCACAGCCAATAGGGAAGCTCCGCTCGCAGAGAGCCAACCAGGAGACGGCATGTGACAGCACATCCCGATTGGCTCGATGTGAAATGGAGCTTCCCCATTGGCTGGAATCGAATCGCTCTCTGAACGAAGTTCTTAATGGAGTAAAGTTACAAATAAAACATTTCTAGGAAACTATCAATTAATCACGGAGAACAATAGGGGTTCAGCTGTTTAACACGTCTAGTTTCAACCCCCATGCCTCGGCTTATTAATGAATTATTTATTGCTAAGACTTAAGGCTACATATATAGCCTGTTAGCCTACATTAAATTATTTCCCGCTAAGAAACGACAGAACATTAATAAAAAAAGGCATAGCCTACTATTTGATAAAATAAAATAAATTAAAAACTTAACACGTTGGCTAGAAGATGCTTAAAGAAAAGAATAAACACTTTACATATTTCGTGAAGGTTACATTTATTTAAATTGCCTTAGCTTGGATAACTGAATTATGTTGTTTATGTTATTATAGGCTATAGCAAACGCGCATTTGCAAGTTACGTTGTAATATTTCGTTAATGTGCTTGCAGTGGCTAAAGTAACCACTAATTGACAATATTCAAATTACAGTTGGTGAATGCAAAAACTGGCGATGGATTTTCATTTTTATTCAAATGCACCTAACAGCGTTGCTATACAGGTGTTTTTTGTTTTTGTTTGTTTCACCTATATTTATAGGTTCCCTTAAATATGAATTATTCTTTTTAGCATGATTAATTGCATTTTTCAATACATTTTTAATTAAAACTTTGAATAGACGTTTGTTTAAAATCGCTCAATTGTTTAAGACATTTGTCTTTATGTATAGGCCCAATTATAAAGGTCGCAATTCCGAGGGACCAATTTATAATTTGAATGATTAAGCGGTTGTCTGACAAATTAGTTTGTCTGTTAACAAGACACTAGATCTCTTGTTACACAAATTTATATCTTTCTGAGTTGCTGTTGACAATGCACAAACCTTCGGGGATGCATTTAGACACTGTTTTCCACTTTTCAAGATTGAGCGTGATATGACAGTTGACACAACAAGCGATACTTAAAAAAACATTGACTAAGCATGCGGGACTGATACACAAAACACAATTCTCTTTGTCCCGATCGACCTACCATGTGTGATGTTTCTCAAAACAAAGTAAAATCAACTGACACTAAAGAATGTCACAGCTACTGTTCATGGTGGCTTTATACAGGCAGCAGCAAATGCGGGACGAGCAAGGGATAGTAAAGTTTGTTGACAGGGTTGAACAACTCATTTGGGATTTGCACACAATTTGTTGTAGCCTATAAATAAATGTCTGTGGTTATATTTTAATATCTGGCCTTATCATGATCTTGCATGTAACAATGGAATTAAAAAATGTAAATTACTTGTAAAATAATTATATAATGGGCCATGTTCATTTCATCACAAATGAAAACGAGGATATGAGGAATAGATCAGTTTCAACTCATCATCTTGTTAGCAGAGACCCCAGGGCTAGACATCAGTTATTAAAGGAGACATCCAAAATGTGCACGGTTGGTGTGCCTCCAGGACCAGAGCTGGGAAACACTGGAAAAGATATAGGCCTATATTCCGTTCAACGGGTTATACATTTTTTAAGTTTGTATGTAGGCTATGACGTTTCATATATATACATATAATTATTTTTTTAATTATTGTATTATATTTTTTAATTAAATAAATTATTTTTATAGGCCTAAATATATAGGCTATATATATATATAGGCCTATAACTATCAATACAATCGATTGAACAGCCTGTACATTTCCCGCAGCCTCGTTTTCGTTCAATAGGCCTATCCACACTGTAAAAAAAGAAAAGAAAAGATAAATAGGTTATGACAACATGTTTTACATTGCTTTAACTCATTAAAATAGGTTAAGCAATTTTCAACTTTTTTTTAAATAAGTTTTACAAGATTCAACTAATTTAAGTTGAAATGACTTAAATATGCAAATTGATAAAAAAAAAAAAAAAATGAATAGGCTATAATTAGCCATTAGGGTGACAATTAAGGGTTTAGAAAATGTCCATGCCATTTAAATGAGATCCTAAGAAAATCATCTCATTGGATTTGGTAACACATTTTTATTTATAAGCAGGATGGTATTTATAGGCCTATATGGTGATTTTGGTTGGGCCTAATTGTCTGTCTGGTCTTGCCCCGTCATCTCTGTTACTCACATGTGGTGAAGATGTTTGCCGTGCAGGTGCAGCTTTGCCACTCGCCCTTCTTCCCTCTTAATTTATTAGCAAGGTTACGGCCAGCAGACCCAACTGCTACCCAGGGTGCAATTTCCCCAATGTGGAATGCTTTGATCCTTTCTGTTGCATTCTAAACGCATATGACAATGCCAAATGGAGAAAAATCGGAGTGTGTTTATTGTTTAGTGACATTTATGCGTGAATAGTTAGGCCTAATAGCTACGCAAGTGGTTGTTTTATTCCGTAGTTTCAGTTCTTTGTCATACGTCTTATATGTAGGCTATTATGCTTGTTTGCAAGCTTGTGTTGGGAAATGAGGGCTTTATTTTAGTAGCCTGCATTGTTAAGGAGTCATGTACCTACAATAGCTACTTTCTATTACAGTATGCAGGTCCATCATGCCTTCAGGCACCTTTGAGGGTATACGCCTATTTATTTACAATCAATGTGTGACAATTGAGCGAATCACGTCCGAGCTTCTGGTTTGGTTCAGGGTGTGTCACATATGTTACACACTGCAATGTAACCTGATCTGAGTGTGGAGACAAGAGATTTGTGCGTTCACTGAATCCCTGTTATGTTAATTAGCATTTGAGGACTCTTGGCTTGATGGATTGGTAACACGTGCAACCTGCTGAATGCTTAACCACTCATAATTTGTCTGTCCGGTTGACTTAGCTACACGAGAGCACAGCCATGTTGACTTAGAGGCACAGATTCAAATTTCAAAATTAAAAGCTGTCGCTCGGTTAAGTCAACAGATGTGTTAAATAGAACTGCAACACCTGCACACTCGAGCGACCGCTGGTTTAGCATCACATAAACACCATGCAACCTAAACAGGGCGTCTTAAACAAGCAACACGTCACAGTAAACCGCCACTGCAGGTTATTCAGTTCTAAATCTATATAGGCTATATATAAATGTAGGCTATTAGTTGCATAGCCTATTATAGTGGGCTACGTCTTTAGTAGCTCTCAGACGCTGAATAATGTGACATAATATCTCTATAGGCCTAGATAGCGAATTATAACATAAATTGAATGACACAATGACTTCTTTTTTACACAATCACAGGGTGACAGTATTGAGTCATTCTCGGTGTTTGCATGGGGAATTCCTGCACTCAGAGCACTTTTACAGGAGGCGGTAAATGCATTCAAAAGATTTCGATTATAATAGGCCTAATAATATAGGCTAAATTATGAATTATATAATTTGACAGATGATGGAATAATTATTGCTTCTTCTTTTTTTACATGGAGAATGACATTCACAGTGAATTCTAACTGTGAATTCTAATTCTAATTGAACTCTCTTAAAAATAAAATTATTGGCATCAATGGTTCCACGAAGAACCCTTTTTAAACCACCTTTATAGTGGAAAAAGTTTCTTTAGATTAATACATGTTTCTTCACACTAAGAAAACAATTGGTTATTTTAAGATCTGCTCACTGAAAGGATCTTCAATGGCACAAAAAAACGTTCTTCTATGGCGTCGCTGCGAAAAACACTTTTTGGAATCTTATTTAATGTGTTTAATATCTTAAACATATTAGCCTTTAATGTTTGCTAGGTGTGTAGGTTACGTATTTACGAATAATAATATACTAAACAGGAATCAGGCATATATATTTTTTTTTAGATGAGTAGTGACGAAATTGCTATTGTTAAAAAGGTCCACTAGATGGCACAGTTAGCTCATTTTTCTGCTGATTTCGTCTTTGATAAACGCACATAACTTGATCCATTGAAAATACAGTTTGATAGGCTATAAAAAATACCATGTTGTCATTTTATAATCACTCTCATCACATTGACATTAATACCGTAAACCATTACATAATAAACGACAAATGTTATTTAATTATGAATGACTGGTTTAAAACTAAATAAATAGAACGATGACGACTGGATCATTTGTTATTATTAGTGGTATTTAATTATTATAGCCAATAGGCTGGGGGCTGAATGATTAATTGCGAAACGAGAAGGTAGCCTAATGTATTCCTTGAAGTTTTTTTTATGCTAATGAGTTGCTACTTTGTCTTTTTTTCTTTCTTTAAAGAGATATTCTATATAAAAAAAATCATGCATTTTAATTTTTAATTGTAAAGAGTTTTTTTTTTCTTCTGTCTTGAAGATATATTCTGCATTCTAAAAAACAAATTCATGCCTAATTTATGTATTACCTAATACTGTTTATTTTGCAGATAGCTAATACACGTTTGCTTCAGGTAAACACAATGACAATAACAGTTCAGAGAAGGTTTATTTGCCATACTTTTACATGCATGATTGCTGGAATATTCTTTTTTTTTTCTTACAATAAATTGTTATCAATGGTACATTTCATGCAAAGTGGAAATAGAGATGACTGTGCTCAAATATATTAAGTTATTCAGACTTTTTGGTCAAATAATAATACCTTAATGAGGTAAAAATTAAAGCTAATGTTATTCCACACATGATTAAGTTGGCACAACAACCTCAGATCTGGTAGAAATACAATACCTCAAGTAATGCAATGTATATATCGTTTCATTGCGCTCCTAGACGAGCAGTGTCTCTTATATCATTTCAAGAAGCCATTTGAAAGGCATTTCAGTGCTCGTTTCTATTGAAAGCGCGGGAGTGAGCAGAAGTTAGGAGGAAGTGTTCAGGATCCTGGAGTCTGAGGAGTCAGATCTTTCATCATACTCCTCATCCGCAGCGTACATGCTCTGTTTGGCAATGACAGGGCAGCTCTCCTCCTGGATGCTGATTCGATGCTCCTCGGAGGGTCTGCTGCTGGTGAGGAGCGG